TCTTGCAAATGGTACATTGTGGGAAGAAGGTCTTGACACCATCCTGGAAAGGGAGCGGTCTTGTATGGCCAGTTTTGAGCCTGGAAATACAGGTTGCTGCCTGTCGGTTTATCCCACATTCCAGAATAGCTACATGCTTTTAGTTTAGGTACCAATGATCAAAGCAATTTCATGATATCATAGTCGTTCCTATAGTACATAATTATGGCATAAAGGTAATCTTTGTATTTACTAAAAGTTGCTAGTATGGGTTAGTCACCTATCTAAATCCTCGTGATTATTATTTTTTTTTTTACAAAGAGAGGAAATAAAATAATTATTTTTCAAAACATTTATTCAAAATTAGTGATATGTTCGTTGTACAATGGAAAACTCAACAACAACAACAACAAAAAGCCTTTATTTAGGGTCACTGACCCTATACAGGATTCACCATAGGTATGCATAAGAACAAAGCAGTGAGACAAAGGAAACAACTATATAGACAGAAGAAAAAGAAAAAGAAAGAGGGAAGCAAGAAAACCAACACAAAAAGAGTAGCAGTAAGAAAGTGAGGAGTGAGTGTCACTTGGCCACAATGGAAAACTGAACATTGTGTAAATTAGATAACTGCAATGTGTGTGTGTGAACTTGAACACAGCTTGCAAATATAGGAATCATAGCCAAATTCTAACAAGATTTTTCTACATAGCCTTAAAAACTAAATTGTGTGCGACAATCATATAATGGGGTATGTAGACATAAGGCATTGTTATTAATACATTATGAGAGATATAATTTTATGAAGAATATCACAAGAGATTTATCTGTTATGGAAAAATATATAAAGTAATTATACTAACGCTGAATGTTGTCTTAAATCTGGAAAAATTGCTTCATTGCGTTAACAAGGTCCACATCTTGTCTAAGGATAGCAAGATGACGTGCCAAGTAAAAAAGTTTGATCGAGATGAAAAAAACAAAGAATTTGTTAATAATATTATTTGCAACAAATTCCAGACTTTTAGTCTCGATAAGTAAATAGAAAGGGATTTGTTAACAATGTCTCTAGTTTGCCGTAAAGAGAAGTAAAGAATTTGTAGATTCCCTAAAATGTATTTCTCAGAAAGAAAGGCCGTCGCAATAAATTGTGGTAGTCCACTCGCTGCTGTTTATCATTTTTTTAAATCGCGTTCCTCATCTCTTGATGACAAAATGAGGTTTATAAAGGAACAGCGGAGCAGCTGCTTGGTTCCATTAGGGGCGCGGGTTTATTTAGCTGTGGCACCGCACTTTATCACGACGAAGACTTGCCTGCCCACTCCAGCGGGTCGAGGGAAGTGGAGGGAAGGAAAATATTGGCTTTGCCCTCGTTGGCTCATCTGGCTGGGCAAACACCGCCAAATCTGGCTTTAAATCCTGATTACGGCGACTGGACGTGACACGCCGCTCATCTCTCCTAATTACGCCAAGCCCATTGTGCCTTGGCGTCGTAAAATGCTGGATGGGCCCTAACATAACCCGGGGAATCCACTATTGATTCCAATCAACCCCACCCTTTTCGTTTTAACCAAAATGGCGTCCTAAATAACTGTTGTCTTGTATTCTTCTTCTTTAACTACGGTATACGCCCATCTTTTCTCTAAGAACAGCGTTTTTATCTTTATCAACAACAACACTAATAAGATTTATTAAGCCACTCAATCATATTAAGGTATCAAGATTGTAAAGCTTGAGACAGTCAGTCTTATTCAACTACGGTATACATCCTTTTTTTTTTCTCTAAGAACAGAGTTTTCATCTTTATCAACAACAACAAAAAGCTTTCCTTTCTGTCGTATACAGATTCTCCGAGTATAAATGTAGGGTACATGCAGGAATAACAGTAATAATACCAGTGATAAGCATTGTTATTATTATTTTTGAAGCTAATCACATAAAGTTAATATGATATTTATATACATTTTTCTTTTGCTTATCCCTAGTACACATGGTACAGGCCATGACAATCATGGTGGGTAGTTAGCGACTGCTTTTACTGTAAGCGCACCACATGCCTACACATGTGAAAACAGTTCGACTTTGCACTTACAAATGTGCCAGAGCCCCGTTTGGTTACTTGCACTCGCTCGTGGGGTTGGACTTTTACAAGAATCGGGGGCCATTGGAGCATTTTTTTTTTTTTAACATAAAAAGTGTCCAATGCGGGAATCGAACCCGAGTCGTAGCGCTCGAAAACCAAACGGTTTAACCAGCCTTCCACCGACCCCCACATTTATATTCATGAAAACTTTTAATTAAGACTATCAAGCCAATAAATAGATTAATATGGGTACATTGGAAGAAAATAAATTTCTTATGCTTGAATTTACCCAGAAGTTTTCATCTTTATTTATTACAACTGTAGATAAGTTGATCAACATGTAGCAAGTTACATGGTGTTTGTTATTTCTCTATCTTTTACATATCTCTTTCGAATATCTAATTCTCTAATCAATTTAAGAAATATTAATCCTAAACACAAGGTAATAAGACCAAATCCAAATAAATAAATAGTGTGTGACGTTTCGGTAACAGCGTTGTTACCATCTTCAGACAAAAGTACTGAATCAAGACCAAATCCAAATAAATAAATCACGTCATTCACACACTATTTATTTATTTGGTCTTATTACCTTGTGTTTATAATCAATAATCCAAATTGTGCCTTATCAAATATTAATCCTTTTATAGCCTTTTATGTAACCATCAATTTTTGCAACACACATCTTTCTGAAATTCAAGACTTTGATATATTACGTGAAGGGATGTCTTGTTCAAATAGGAAACGACAAGATCGAAACGCTAATCTATAGAAATAAAGAAGAAAAGTTTGCATACACTTGTTTGACCTACATATAGGTTTCCATAACATTGACTGACTATGGTTAAACTTTGATACAGTATAGAGTTAGGTCCGAAAAGTGTCACTAACATGGTTTTGTCCTCGTAATATGCAATTTAGTCTTATATCAGGTCAAATTGCATATTCCATTTATTCCGCATATATTTCTACGATATTTGACCATCTCTATATTATTTCTAAGGCAATACAATATGCAATTTAATCTTATATCAGGTCAAATTGCATATTCAATTTATTCCGCATATATTTCTACGATATTTGACCATCTCTATATTATTTCTAAGGCAATACAATATGCAATTTAGTCTTATATCAGGTCAAATTGCATATTCCATTTATTCCGCATATATTTCTACGATATTTGACCATCTCTATATTATTTCTAAGGCAATACAATATGCAATTTAGTCTTATATCAGGTCAAATTGCATATTCCATTTATTCCGCATATATTTCTACGATATTTGACCATCTCTATATTATTTCTAAGGCAATACAATATGCAATTTAGTCTTATATCAGGTCAAATTGCATATTCCATTTATTCCGCATATATTTCTACGATATTTGACCATCTCTATATTATTTCTAAGGCAATACAATATGCAATTTAGTCTTATATCAGGTCAAATTGCATATTCCATTTATTCCGCATATATTTCTACGATATTTGACCATCTCTATATTATTTCTAAGGCAATACAATATGCAATTTAGTCTTATATCAGGTCAAATTGCATCTTCTGATCTTTTTAAAATAAAATAAACTTTATAATGTCCAATCTGTGATGGAAAATATGTTAGAAGGGTTTGTTTCATCAGTGATGAATCCTTCTAACTGTTTCACCAATTTAATCCACTAGACCAGGGGATCGGCAAACTTCTGAGTCGTAAGAGTCAAAAATTACAATTTGCAAAATATCAATGTTTTTAAAGAGCCACAATTTTTTTTCTTGCCATCAATAAATAGTACTCTCATAAATAATATTTACATATGGAACTATATAAAGAGCTTCACATCCAAAAAGCAGCATGTGTCTCGCTAGCCGCAGTTTACCGACCTCTACACTAGACTGTGTTTAGAGCTCTAATACTGTATTAGACCATTCTATATATATATATATGCAACATTGAAGAGGGTGGAATCTTGGTTATGGTACCTATACAAACTCTGAACATATGAAGATATTTGAAAAATAAGTGCTTAAAAGTTTTATTATTTTATATTTTTATATTGGTTGTACCAGGACGAGAGAAAATGTCAACATGAAAGCTGATGGAATACATGGTCTATCGCCTCTGCTATTTATTCATTGATGTTTGCTAGAAATCAAATAATCTGAAGTACAATAAAATATTTTACCTACACGATTTTTAAAAGTAAAAAAAAAAGTTATCTAAATGTAACACTTTAAGACTATATAGAGTTAGTAAGGCCCTTGTCATAGTTTCGACCCCGTGAAATATAGAAATGAGCCCGATAAGAGATAATTTGCATATTCTCTGGCAAAAAAAAAGGGTTCAGGGATAGGTTTATTGCATATCCATACAATTTTTGGTTGCTGTTACTTGGAGAAACAAAAAGGGGAACTCTTGGGTGATTTATTCTTGTCTCAATCCGATAATCAACAAATTTATAACTGGATGAATGCAATGATGTTTGATCAAGGTCTTCTTTTTGATTTATATAAATTCTACAAGGCCGCAGTCGCCGTTCGGAGGAGATTAATAGAATCTCCGAATGTCGTGGTCCATTTGGATGAGGAAAGTGAAGACTTAGAACGTGGCTGATTCCACACTTGCCTGTTCAGTGATTCGCTAACCATGACGTATGCACAAAGGAACGTGTGGCCATTGGACTTGCATCGGACCTAGAGGCTGTCGTTGGGTGCTGCGCTGCCTGGAGTATAGGAGCTCCATCTATTATTTCTTCTTGTGGTATTTCTGTATAAGACCGGTGGTCTTAATAAAGCTTTGTGTGTGTGTTTATTGCATATTCTATCACAGTATACCCGGGCAAAGTCAGTTCAATTCTCTAGTGGGGAATAAAAACACTTGGCACTCTCTTGGCAAGCTGAAAGGTAACACAATGTTATCACATTAGGTCTACATTTGCTGCTGCGACATTGGCTGATGACTCAGTTAGAAAACGCTTGAACGATTTTTCCAGGATTCTGAAATAGTTTTAGATATGGCCATGTGTTCAAAGTTTTTATTTGAACCTATATAGCTCACGGTGAGGAGCTGATTGACTATCTTGCATTATTTCTCTTTCAAAATGTGTAATGAATTGATTTTTTATACTCTAGTGTATTGAGACCCTTTTAAAATTAATATCGTCCTTTCTACTAGTGATGACAAAGAATGAGCCACAAGACCAGTTTCTTTCTCATCACTATTAAAGTTTTTATTTTTTACTGAAGTGATGCACAGTGCCATCGTTCTGATGCCTAAATAAAGGGAGAGGTACCTCTTTTGGTACTTGAATATCATTCTCCCGCAACTTTTATGTTCTATATACATACAATAAAACCTAATTAAGGCAATCCCATACACGAATTTGTATCATAAGTTCGAGGAAAACAAAAAAAGATGATGTGATAAAAATGCGTGTATTTGTATGTTTATATATGATACACCTTGAAAATAAAGATACTTCGGCCAGTAAATCTTTTTATTACATCGACGTTTCGACAAAAATATTTTATCCTCGTCAGGAGCAAACAAAAATGAAAACATTTGGCAAGGCGTTAAAATTCATTCTTGTTTTGTTTGCTCCTGACGAGAACAAAAGATTTTTGTCGAAACGTCGAGGTAATAAAAAGATTTACTGACCGAAGTGTTTTTATTTTCAAGAACTATGAATGCCGGCCAGGCAGCCTCTATATTTACGATAAATGATACATGTATACGAGGGCTCCAAGACAGAAGAAGAATCAGAACACGACTCGAGTGAGATTTTTGAGCCGAAGAATGACAATCAAAGAAGATCACGAGTCAGAGGTTGGACCGAAGAAAAACAATCAGGTCACGACTCTAGTTGATTGTTGTATATATCGTATATGTATACATAAGCTTTTATTAAGAATTTCGTCTAATGCAAAAATTCCTTAACTGAAGAACAGAGAGCTTCAAAACTTTCAGATGGGGGGAACCTATTTACAAAATTTTCAAGTTATAGTATCTATTGATATCTGTGAGGCTGTTTATGAGTTTATCACTCATTCCGTGATATCTGACCATCTTGTATATTTTGTCTGTTAGGAAGTTTAATATCTTGAAGTGGCTCGAGAAATTCTTCAGCTGCGACGTGTAGCAAGAATAAGTGTCTGACGCCCCGACCACCAAAATATCTTCGATATTTATTGTCCTGCAGAGACTTGCTGACAATTTTGGACGATGGTGGAGACACTGTCTCTCAAACCATCCTTCACTTTTTCTTGGTTATCATTTTTCTACACTCTCTCGTTAATTAAACCTGAGCTAAATTGATTATCAAGTTGAGAGAAAGAGAGCTCCCTTAAAATTACTTTGTTTTTGTCTCTTTCTCTGGTTGATCCTGCCAATAGTCATATGCTTGTTTCAAAGATTGAGCCATGCATGTCTATGTACATGCTTTAGAAAGTTGAAACTACGAAAGGCTCATTAAATCTGTTTTGGTTTCTTAGATTGTACATGTTTACTTGGAAAATTGTCTTTCTTTCTCTGGTTGATCCTGCCAATAGTCATATGCTTGTTTCAAAGATTGAGCCATACATGTGTAAGTAAACGCCCTTGCAATTTGAAACTACGAAAGGCTCATTCAATCAGTTATGGTTCCTTAGATTGTACACATTTACTTGGAAAATTGTCTTTCTTTCTCTGGTTGATCCTCCCAATAGTCATATGCTTGTCTCAAGGATTGAGCCATGCATGTTTAAGTAAACGCCCTTGCAAGTTGAAACTACGAAAGGCTCATTAAATCTGTTATGGTTTCTTAGATTGTACATATTTACTTGGAAAATTGTCTTTCTTTCTCTGGTTGATCCTGCCAATAGTCATATGCTTGTTTCAAGGATTGAGCCATGCATGTTTAAGTAAACGCCCTTGCAAGTTGAAACTACGAATGGCTCATTAAATGATTTATGTTTCCTTAGATCGTAAACATTTACTTGGAAAACTGTTTCTCTTTCTCTTTGTGGTTGATCCTGCCAATAGTCATATGCTTGTTTCAAGGATTGAGCCATGCATGTTTAAGTAAACGCCCTTGCAAGTTGAAACTACGAAAGACTCATTAAATCTGTTTTGGTTCCTTAGATTGTACATATTTACTTGGAAAATTGTCTTTCTTTCTCTGGTTGATCCTGCCAATAGTCATATGCTTGTCTCAAAGATTGAGTCATGCATGTCTATGTACATGCTTTAGCAAGTTGAAACTACGAAAGGCTCATTAAATCTGTTATGGTTCCTTAGATTGTACACATTTACTTGGAAAATTGTCTTTCTTTCTCTGGTTGATCCTGCCAATAGTCATATGCTTGTTTCAAAGATTGAGCCATGCATGTTTAAGTAAACGCCCTTGCAAGTTGAAACTACGAAAGACTCATTAAATCTGTTTTGGTTCCTTAGATTGTACATATTTACTTGGAAAATTGTCTTTCTTTCTCTGGTTGATCCTGCCAATAGTCATATGCTTGTCTCAAAGATTGAACCATACATGTCTATGTACATGCTTTAGCAAGTTGAAACTACGAAAGGCTCATTCAATCAGTTATGGTTCCTTAGATTGTACACATTTACTTGGAAAATTGTATTTCTTTCTCTGGTTGATCCTGCCAATAGTCATATGCTTGTTTCAAGGATTGAGTCATGCATGTTTAAGTAAACGCCCTTGCAAGTTGAAACTACGAAAGGCTCATTCAATCAGTTATGGTTCCTTAGATTGTACATATTTACTTGGAAAATTGTCTTTCTTTCTCTGGTTGATTCTGCCAATAGTCATATGCGCTTGTCTCAAAGATTGAGTCATGCATGTCTATGTACATGCTTTAGCAAGTTGAAACTACGAAAGGCTCATTAAATCTGTTATGGTTCCTTAGATTGTACACATTTACTTGGTTTTTATATCTCTCTCTCTCTCTCTGAGAAGAGGTCTGTCTGAAGCAATTCCTCGACATGGCAATAGCACATGTCGGGGAGAAATCCGATCTGTCAGACTTCAGGACGTGACATCATAACAAACGACCATCAATGGGATTCCTCTGATGAAAATTATATTTAATTTTACTTTTTCCCCCTATTAACCTTATTAATCTCATATGTATGGTCAATAAAAGTATATTCAATCTCAATCTCTCTGGTTGATCCTGCCAACAGTCATATACTTGTCTCAAGGATTGAGCCATTCATGTCTAAGTACACGCCCTAGAAAGACGAAACTACGAATGGCTCATTAAATCTGTTATGGTCCCATAGATTGTATACATTTATTTGGAAAATTGTCTTTCTTTCTCTGGTTGATCCTGCCAACAGTCATATACTTGTCTCAAGGATTGAGCCATTCATGTCTAAGTACACGCCCTAGAAAGACGAAACTACGAATGGCTCATTAAATCTGTTATGGTCCCATAGATTGTATACATTTATTTGGAAAATTGTCTTTCTTTCTCTGGTTGATCCTGCCAACAGTCATATGCTTGTCTCAAGGATTGAGCCATTCATGTCTAAGTACACGCCCTAGAAAGACGAAACTACGAATAGCTCATTAAATCTGTTATGGTCCCATAGATTGTATACATTTATTTGGAAAATTGTCTTTCTTTCTCTGGTTGATCCTGCCAACAGTCATATGCTTGTCTCAAGGATTGAGCCATTCATGTCTAAGTACACGCCCTAGAAAGACGAAACTACGAATGGCTCATTAAATCTGTTATGGTCCCATAGATTGTATACATTTATTTGGAAAATTGTCTTTCTTTCTCTGGTTGATCCTGCCAGTAGTCATATGCTTGTCTCAAAGATTGAGCCATTCATGTCTAAGTACACGCCCTAGAAAGACGAAACTACGAATGGCTCATTAAATCTGTTATGGTCCCATAGATTGTATACATTTATTTGGAAAATTGTCTTTCTTTCTCTGGTTGATCCTGCCAGTAGTCATATGCTTGTCTCAAAGATTGAGCCATACATTCCTAAGTAAGTACACGCTCTAGCAAGGCGAAACTACGAAAGGCTCATTAAATCAGTTATAGTTCCTTAGATTGTATACATTTACTTGGTTCTTGTCTCTCTCTTTCTCTCAGGCGTCATGTAAAACGTAGAACTCTTTTCCTTTTTTCTTATCTCCACTCAATCATATTAGGGTATCAAGCTTGTAGAGCTTGTTGATGTTGTCTGCTGGGGATGAGTAGAGCTCATCAATGGATGATCCAATACAGTCAATGATGTGGTGTTTGACAACTATCATGACTGGGTGAAGTAGAATGCGCTTGCTTTTGTCATTAAGACTGGGAGCACTACTCAGTGGCAGGCCGACTTAGCTCCAATATGAAATGGCTGTCTCTAACATGAGGAACAGATGCCATGTGTAGCCGCTCCTAACATGGAGTACAAACGCTGTTCATCCTGTATCCCTGGATCAGGAGACCTTACAGGGTACTATCAGCTGGGCCAGCTGAGCCCAGGTTTTTTAGCGAGCTTTTTCTGGGCTTGGGACCGGCAAAGGCGTAGTTAAAACGTAGAACTAACTTCCAAGAACAACTTACCATTCAAGTTTTATTTCCCCAGAGATATCATATGTTTGATTGCGTACACATATCTCTACAGTTACCTATTTTGATATCCGAGAGAATTCTTTAGTAGATGCCAATGGTAGAGAGAATCAACCTGTCAGAGAATATCGACGTCTTCCCCAGAAATTGTAGAGTACGTTCATTAATGAGTGCTGCAATAATTGTTTGTTTGTCCGACGTCTAATTGCAGGGCTGCCGCCTTCATTCTTCAAAATGTTCCCAACTCAGGAGGATAATCATTCCCGTCCTTCATTACAGCGTCCTACGTAATTAAATGGGACCCCCGATAATTGGGACCCCTTGTTGGACCGACACACCCCGTGCACTCACGCTCCAGGAGCTGCTTGCTTTCATACACACGTTGCGTATGATGGAAAATAATCGAAGTGTGAGAAAGCATACACAACTTGAAAGAATGAATAATTTGAATCGAGTTTTGTACATTGTATTTTTTAAAAATAGAACATACAAGTTGTGTCTATTATTTTGATATGATTATTGATAATATTAAAATAAGAGAATAATTTGTTAATAAGCAAAGAGAGCGTAACTTTTTTTTTTTTTTAGTAAGGCAAGCTTTAGAGAAATTTTCTCTTCTAGGGGTTTACGCTCATTGACAAAACTTAAGGAAGTCAAAAGTTTTTGATGCTATCATTTTTTTTTTTTGAAGGAGACAGAGGAAATTTTGTTCACACTTGGTTATCTTGTGTGTCTTCAATAAAGGTCACTGTAATATCTTTCAGAGTTATTGTCTGAATCCCGATATACATGCTAAAAGGTACAACTTCCTTTACGTCTTGTTCACACTTGGTTATCTTGTGTGTCTTCAATAAAGGTCACTGTAATATCTTTCAGAGTTATTGTCTGTATCCCAATATACATGCTAAAAGGTACAACTTCCTTTAAGTCTTGTTCACACTTGGTTATCTTGTGTGTCTTCAATAAAGGTCACTGTAATATCTTTCAGAGTTATTGTCTGAATCCCGATATACATGCTAAAAGGTAGAACTTCCTTAAGTCATGTTCACACTTGGTTATCTTGTGTGTCTTCAATAAAGGTCACTGTAATATCTTTCAGAGTTATTGTCTGAATCCCGATATACATGCTAAAAAGGTACAACTTCCTTTAAGTCTTGTTCACACTTGGTTATCTTGTGTGTCTTCAATAAAGGTCACTGTAATATCTTTCAGAGTTATTGTCTGAATCCCGATATACATGCTAAAAGGTACAACTTCCTTAAGTTTTGTTCATGAGTGTATCTAGTGTGTCTTCAATAAAGGTCACTGTAATATCTTTCAGAGTTATTGTCTGAATACCGATATACATGTTAAAAGGTACAACTTCCTTAAGTTTTGTCTATAAGTGTAGATCGTTTGCATTCTTGTTGTTCAAGATAGATAATAAGTGTCTATGTAGACCGACATTTTCGATGCAAATGATTAAGTCTTTTTATAAGGACAATTGAAGCCTCTGGCATGACTAACTGTTCCTCAGGTATGTACTAGATTGTCCTCCCAGCCGGCCGGCTTGACTAAATGACAAACGTGACCTCGGGAGACAGAATTATGTACTACAAAGGTATTGCAGCGTAATTCCACTCAGTGATTATCCTCTCTGCCCAAATTTGGTGCTAATTGGATATAACAGAGGTCGGGCCATGACTCGGAGCATGACTTGGACTCTTTTTTATACATATATAAAAAGATATGTTTCACTTAGCGACGTACCGTTTAACAAATCCACATTTATGTCGGACTCCATAACCTAAATTCTGATTCGTCGCTTCGTATTAGATATCTAAAGTTTAACGTTTAACAATTAAATTTACTAGCAATATTTTCCTTTTTAATAATTTTATAACGTATAAAATTAGGAAAAAGACAAACTTCAGGATGACACAGCGTTTTTTTTTTAAGTCACAAACATAAATTATAATTGATAAAATACAAAAGAAAGAATGCATTTTTTTTTTATATCAGAAAAAAAGTGCCCAATGCGGGAATCGAACCCTGGTCGTAGCGGTCGAAAACCAACAGTTTAGACCATCCTTCCACCGACCCCCCTTTATGTTCATAGTTTACTTGAATACCAATACTCCGTAAAAAGTTTATTTTCTAATTTATTATCATTGGTAAACTTTCGAGTTAAAGAACTCTTTTACAGGCATTTCTTTCAAGTATATACATTTCAAACTAGATATTTGTAAATCTTAAATGCGATAGAATATATACATATGCAGTGATTATTAATATAAGAAAATTCCTTTTGCCTTTATTCTTTGTCTTTTCTATAGTGAAAGTTCTGAGGTCACACATAATGTTCCTGGACCCTATATTCTGGAGCACAATGGTCGCTAGCACAGAGCAGGTCAATAAATCCTTTCCAGGAAATTGCTGTCGCCCTTCCCGAGAACATAATCTCGACACCGACTGATGTCTGGATTCTATTTTATATTTTTGAAATATATTCTTCCATTCTTTTTAGTGAGGATTGGGTTGTTGGTTAGATGAATGGTATGTACCGTTCATTTTCGATAGTCCTACGACTTGGAATCAAATTCCACGCATTGGGAATTTTTTCCTGAATAAAAAAAAATGCTTAAATGGCTTACGATACTCTTGTAAAAGTTTTACTGCTGTTACTAATTGTGTGTAATAAGAACTTCTTTAACTACATAAAGACAAAAGTCATATATACATACACAAAGCTTTATTAAGACCACCGGTCTTATACAGATTCACCACAGGAAGAAATAATAGAGCTCCTATACTCCAGGCAGCGCAGCACCCAACAACAGCCTCCAGGTCCGACGCATGTCCAATGGCCACACGTTCCTTCGTGCATACGTCATGGTTAGCATATCGGAAGGTGTATAATCTACGATGGAAATTCTGTGGAGAGAATCTGGAACTTGTAACTTTGTTCATTTTAAAATTTCAGCCATCATTCAGGCCTCAGCAAACATCCACAAAACTTCTCCTTTCTTTTTTTCAACCTGTCCCTTAGAGAGAAAGATAGAAATAGATGGCGTAAAAAAACAAATAATTTGCGATTAGGAAATAAGTACCAAAAAAAAAAACTTCTTGTGGCTAATAATTCAATACCAAGGACAAATGAGCAACAATTTCTTCGCCTTCATTTGCAATTGCGTTTAGTTTATCTTTGCCGAAGGGTAGGTATAAATACAAGGTGTCATTAGGGAGACGTGAGGCAAGGTAAGTACATACTCTCTTGTCAAACTCGCCAGTGCCAGAACAAAAGGAGTTGATTGGGAAGGCAAACATCGCCACCTACATCGAACAAGGTCCAATCCAAACAAAAGAACGACAACTACGGGCGTGACAAGCCCTCGACCCAGACGTGCCAGCTTGCCTCTTGATCGAGATGTTTCCCACCAAAGCCCTCTCTGTCTCTCTAAAGAGAACGCCCCTCAGCCTATCTAAATTGGCAACGGTGGAACAATCGCAGACCACGATAAGATGAACTCTAGTGCGATAGTTGGCCCAAAACCCCCGCCGGTATCCAAGACAATACCTCTTTAAACTGCTTTCGTGCAGTTTCGGTTGGGATGGTCGGAGGGAAAATTGGCTGTTGCTGCTGCTGCAGGCTCCTTTTATCTTTCTGGGTAATAAACTCGCCTACAATGCCTAGCAAAGTTTTTTGTTTGTTGGAATCTTCAGGTATAAGCTGCGTGGGTGGATACAAGAAATTTACATTCTTCTTACATGCTTGATAGAGCGCGGTATTTAGAAAATTTGGTCAGAGAATTTTGATGCTGTCGATTGCAAATTTATTATACAATATACGAAATTATAATTTTAAAGACACAAAGCTGTTATTTCTATTCATGATAAAATTGTGAAAAAAGTTTTAAAATTACAAAATATTTTCCCACAATGAGTTTCTTTTTATTACAAAACACTAGCTTTCAAGTGATAATCAAAAACACGCTGCGCGCGTATGTTTTGTAAATATTTCTGGTAGGGTATAGTCGATATTGTATTAAGCCCGTTGAAGAACGATTATCGCTTGAAAGCTAGCGTTTTTTAATAAAAAGAAACTCATTGTGAGAAAATATTCTATAATTTAAAAAACAAAGCTGTTATCTCGGGGTGTTGATGGATCCTCTTTCAGGTTGTGCCCCGTTAGCAGAAATCAAATTTCAAACAAAGTTGTTTATTAATTTTATTTCAATTTTAATTCTCCATTAGAAGAGCCTTTTACCTCGAAAGTTAGATATATTAAATATAATCTTTTACAAGAAACTCATCCCTGGAGATGGCTTAATTTTCTCTTTAATATCAAATTGGTAAAGATTTAAAAATGCTTCAATGACCCCCAATTCTTTCAAAAGTCTAACCCCGCCAGCGAATGCAAGTAATCAAACGGGGCTCTGGTATATTTGTAAGTGCAAAGTTGAATTGCTTTTCACATGTGTAGACATGTGGTGTACTTACAGTAAAAGCAGTTGCCAACTTCTACCCTCCATGTTTATTATGACCTGTACCACGTGTACTAGGGATAAACAAAAAAAAAAAAACCTTCATCCTTAAACCACTGATTGAGATGGTAGATTTGTAGACGTAGGTTGTCTGGTAGAATGTAGTTTGAAGCCTTGCCGAGCATGTGTAGACATGTGGTGTACTTACAGTAAAAGCAGTTGCCTACTTCTACTCACCATGATTATCATGGCCACGTGTACTAGGGATAAGCAAAAAAGAAAAACCTTCGTCCTTAAACCACTGATTGAGATGGTAGATCTGTAGACGTAGGTTGTCTGGTAGAATGAAGTCTTGCCGAGCTGTCAATCTGACCCCCACACACCAACCGATGAGTTCACTACTTCTATATTTACCAAGTCATTTTTTTCCCACTCCGCGCCACACGGTGCTGAAAACTGGAACGGCACCACCGCCCATGTCAACTATGCAAACAGACATCGTTCTCTTTCTGCTTGTTTTCTTCAATGGCAGCGATTTAGTCACATTTATTGAGCTATATATCCTACCCAATCACATCATACAACGAGATAAAGGAAAAAAATTAATGCCTATTATTACCCATTCAAAATATTGCTACCTGGAAAATTAGGGGAGACAAACTTCGGGATGACACAGCAATTTATTTTTGGCAAGAAAAAACTATGATAAACAAAAGATAAGCAATGAGGGAAGTTTACAGAATAAAAAATATAAACAAAAAATGATACTCTGTTAATAAAATAATAAATGCTTTGCTACAATACATTTTTAAAAAAGGATCTATAATGCAATTTAAATTATTTTAGTGATGAATATGTGCTAGTGGGATGTACATTAAGCATGTAGAAGGTGACTCCGCCAGATTTGAAGTGTTGGATTGAATTTAAGAAAAAAGATTTTCAATCTCATCGCTCAGCTGGTGTTCAAAGAAAGTGGACAATAGAATACTTGGTTGACGAGATGATAGCGTGGTCCTTTTATGCCGACCGCAAAGTTCCGGGATTGTATGCCCTACAGCCGTCCAATGGTCATAGCGGAGGACATCCATGTATGACAGACTTCGGTCTAGGCTAGGGGTTGGCAAACTGCGGCTCGAGAGCTACATGCGGATTATCTGGTCAACCTTGCGGAAGCCTGACCTTAAAGTCGAACGTGGTACATGAACATGCATCAGTTCTCATGAACTGGAATGTTGAAGGGTGTTGTAGGTGTTCCAGGGTGTTCCAAGGTTGTTGTTGTAGGGTGTTTCAAGATGTTTCAAGGTTGTTTTAGGGTGTTTCAGGGCGTTTTAAGGGTGTTATATGGTGTTTCAGGGTATTTTTAAGGGTGTTGCAGAGTTTTGTAGGTATGGCAGAGTGTTGTAGAATATTTCAGGGTGTTTTAAGGATGTGAAGCTGCGGTTCTTTATATAGTTCCATACGTAAATATTATATATGCGAGTACTATTTATTGTTGGCAAGGAAAAAAATTTGTGACTCTTTAAAAACTTTGAAATTTTGTAAATTGTAATTTTTGAATCTTCCGACTCAAAAGTTTTCCGACCCCTGGTCCAGGTACCCCACTATCCATCGGTGTATGGATTGCCGAGTGTGTCGTGGGAAACCAAGGGATGTATACAGTAATAGCACTCTCCGCTGTCTAGACAGTCTTGGCATGTTAACTGCGTACTTCAGAGAACCTTTCGTCAACAGATTAATGGTGGGCTGGTTATAAAATGGGTAGGGGGAGATAGTACGTTGGGACGTAGGATGGGTTCAACTCAGCCCAGTCAGGAGAGCCAGAACAGAAACCAGGCCGAGAGACTCCTTGTGGGTTGTCTGGTAAACCTTGCGGAAGCCTGACCTTAAAGTAGAACGTGGTACATTAGCATGCATCAGTTCTCACGAACTGGAATGTTGAAGGGTGTTGTAGGTGTTCCAGGATGTTTTAAGGTTGTTGTAGGGTGTTTCAAGGTGTTTTAAGGGTGTTATATGGTGTTGCAGGATATTTTAAGAGTGTTGCAGTGTGTTTTGAGAGTGTTTCGAGGTGTTTTAAGGGTGTTGTTGAGTGTTGTAGGTGTTGCAGAGTGTCGCAGGGTGTTGTAGGGTGTTTTAAGGGTGTTTTAAGGGTGTTGTAGGGTGTTATAAGGGTGTTGCAGAGTGTTGCGGCAACTGCCGTACAACCTTCGGCTTAGTCAAGATGTCCAAATATGCTGATTAAATCACGGTATCAATCACAAAGAGAACTTGTGTACCATTGAGGCGAAGTTCACTCAGCTATCTCCAGACAATACCTTCAATTATATTCCCTCTCCAGCTTTCAATATTTCCAAATTATCTTGAAGACTTCGGATTTATCTGTGAGGATCACAGGATTGTCCCTGTATAGTGTAGGATAGAAGAACTAAGAACCTGTACGGCACTCAACCTTGAACGATCAGTTTATAGCAAGAATCTTTATGGGGGTTGATGGACGAGTAAATCAACGATAAACCGTCCATTTCTGTCAGCCACAACTGCCCCAGAATATATGGTCCAGGAACATTATGTGTGACCTCAGAACTTGACTATAGAGAAGACAAAGAATAAAGGCTAAAGGAATATGTTATTATGAGTAATCACTGCATATGTATATATTCCATAGCATTTAGGATTTACAAATATATATTTTGAAATGTATATACTTGGAAGAAATGCCTGTAAAAGAGTTCTTTAATTCGAAAGCTTGCCAATGATAATAAATTAGAAAATAAAATTTTTACGGAGTATTGGTATTCAAGTAAACTATGAACATAAAGGAGGTAGGTGGAAGGATGGTCTACACTGTTGGTTTTCGACCGCTACGAACCGGGTTCGATTCCCGCATTGGACACTTTTTTTTCTCAATAAAAAAAAAATGCTCCAATGGCTCTCGATTCTTATAAAAAAGCCCAATCCCACCGGTAAGTGCAAGTAACAAAACGAGACTGTCACATTTGTAAGTGCAAAAGTTTAACTGATTTATACATATGTAGACATATGTAGTATCTATTCTGTTGTAGATGTTTGTGTACTCACACGGCTAAATGATTCTCTGGCACACTTGTAAGTGCATAATGTTGAACTGCCCATTCCATATGTGTAGATATGCAATGCACTTACAGTAAAAGTAGTCTCTATCTACTACCCACTATGATTATCATGGCCTGTACTTCATGTACTAGGGATAATTTTTGCTTTCTAACGTTGTTGTCAATGCTTCTCATTAGGTCGTTTATATTCTTTTGAGATTCTTCATCCTTTTTAAACCTCATCTTTCTTATTTCTAATCAATTTCATCATCGGATTTACATTCGAATACTTTCTTGGGCTTGATTTCATTAAGAAAACACGAATTATAAACATTTTTCTCTTTTTTAAAATATTACCTTCGTTTTAGACATTGGGACATGTTTCTAAACACTGTGTTTTTTTACTATCAGGTAAAAAAACGGTTATATTACATTAAAAAGTTTTATACCCTACCATTAAAACGCCGTAGTAAAGTTTAGTCTTCCCCACCTATTTTACTGTCAAATTTTAATTCCACTACAGAATTGGTGGATAGCGATGTTTGGCCTTTACGAGCTCGTATAGATTCCTGGAATAATTACTTTCATCCCTTGGCAATTTCGGATTCCAGTGTGAAATGAGCTTACATAACTAAACTAGTCAGCCATGTAAAAGTATCTTAGACACTTCTTCATATGTAAATATGTTAGTATAGTTAGATTATAAGCAATTAACTATTAATATTAGGTTTCATCCCTTGGCAATTTCGGATTCCTGTATGAAATGGCTTACATAACTAAACTAGTCGGCCATGTCTTCTTCTTCTTCTTTCTTATCTCCACTCAATCATATAAGGGTATCAAGCTTGTAAAGCTGGAGATCATGTCTGGGTGAAGTAGAATGCGTCTGCCTTTGTCATTAAGACTGGGAGCACTACTCAGTGGCAGGCAGACTTAGCTCTAAAAGAAATGGCCGCCTCTGACATGAGGAACAGACGCCAT